TGGTCCTTAAAGTGTTTCTTGAGAGTATGGGCTACTCGAGAAGGTTATAATGATATATCCTAGGGTTTTTAGTGTCCCTTGAGCATAAAAATGGAGTCTTGATGGGTTAAGTTCAACCATGAAAGGGTTGAAGGTGGTTTCATGAAGTTAGTGTAATAATGTAACGCCCGTGTTTCTACGATAGGCATTAATGATGATGTAATATTCTAGGTCAACCTTTGTAACTCGTTTTGAAGAAATAAAAAGGAATTATGTGATTATTATGTGAATTATGTGTTTTATGCTTAATTATTAGGATTTAATTAATTAAGAATAAAAATAAGCGTCGAAAATAAATAATAGATAAAGCCGATATCTATTAAGAAAGTTGTAGTGGTCGTGACAAGGATTCCGGATATATAAAGAATACCGAAATCCGAGTTATAACGAAGATGTTATGACCTGTCGAAGTTTCGCGACAGAACCGGCACGACACAACGTGACGTAAATAGTGAATTTACGATAGAATGATTTTTAGCCTTGGTGATCTAAATTAAAGTCGTAGTGTTCGTTAAACCGAGAGTATGCATAAAAAGAACGCCCAAATTTGACTTCGTATGAGGAAGTTATGATTTTTCTAAGTTTCAGCTTAGCAGTAGACAGCTAAAAACTCGAATTTTAGATCGAGTGACTTTTAGCCGACACAACCTAAACGAGAATTGAAAGGTCTCATCAATAGTAGTACAACGGTAAAAAGACAGACGAAAACGAACGTCGGATGAAGAAGTTATGAATTTTTAACGGATTTTCATGTCCCGGTCTGTTAAAAATAATAATATAAAAAATTCAAGTCAAAATTAGCCAACGGAGTCTAAACGAAAGTTGTAGAGCTTAATTTTACCTACGCGTGCATATAAAGAACGTCAAAAACGGAGCCTGTATGCGAAAGTTATGGATTTTAGAAGTTTGAGACACAAAAATCGAGAAAAATGCCAAAACCGAGGAATTTCGCATGGCTCAACTTCGGCCACGTCACCCTCGCTAGCAGCATGCCGCATGTCTGAATTGCTGAGTCATCCGAGGCCACCTGTCGACGCGTGTCGCACCCTCCTCGCACCGAAGGCTCGGCCAATCAGAAGCCACCTCGTGCCTTCTCCGTGTCTCGGTCTCGCAGCACCACGTGTCCGAGCCTCGCATCCGACTCCTGGCACCCTCGCATGCGAGCCACGTGCCCCCCCTCGGTCCGAAGCCTCCCCTATAAATAGAAGGGTGCGAACCCTCCCGGTGATAATTTGGAAAATTGCCATTTTTCACCCTAAACTCAATATTTCTTTCATTTCAACTTCCCCCAAAGCCCCGGTATCATACCAAACACCCGAAACACGTCCCGAAGAGCCCGAGAAATTTATCTTTTCGGTTTTGAAGCCCAACCCTCGCAGAGCCCGATTTTTCATTAAAGCTCCCGGTTTTATCAGAAACGATTGTTTTAGGAAACGAAGTGTTGCCCGATTATCGTTAAATCAAGTGAGTGTATAGTCACTTTCATCTTACACATAGATATGAAGTATTTTATATAAAATACGTGCTATGTGAATATATATTGTTTGTTTATTTGAGATGGATGTTGAATGAATGATTTATACAGGTTTTTAAATAATTTAAACTGTATATGTATTTTATATCTACAAAAATGTTGGGTAAAACATGGGTAGATGAAATAGTTGGTATGTGATGAAAGATGAGTTGGATAAATGAGATGATCGGTGATATAGATCATGAGATGAGGGTGAGTGGTAATATATGAGAGAAGCACTTACCCAAACGTTGGCCCCCGTCATTCAACAGAGTATGAATGACAACCATGGACTCTTCTAGACGGTCTGTGGAACACTAGCAGGCTCGCAACCTGTAAGTGTGTGAACTATATGTTCATCAGTTGTACTCTAAAAACCCATTGACATGTATTGCAGGTGGATTCCCGTGAATAATGTTGTCGATAAATGAGAGCTATGGACTTAGCACATGTTGTATAAACCTTGGCAGCTATGGACTTCGTGCCTATTTGACATAAATTGCTGAGGAAAAGCAGTGTTGTCACCCCGATGTTTGCCTTATTTGACATAAATTGCTGAGGAAAGCAGTGTTGTCACCCCATTGGTTGCCTTATTTGACATAAATTGTTGAGGAAAGCAGTGTTGTCACCCCGATGGTTGCCTTATTTGACATAAATTGCTAAGGAACCCCCGAAGCAATGTTGTCGCCCTGATGAAAATCCTTAGGCTAGGTCCCTTGTGATAGTTGTTTTAGGGACGTAAAGTGAGGATAACGAGAATGGGTAATCAGGGTTATTCTTGGTTGATGAAATTAATATATTTATCGTTGAATGGTGAAATTAATAAATTTATTATTTGTGGGTTGAAAACCCTATATGCTCACCAGGCTCCCAAGCCTGACCCACTCAGTTTCTTGTATTACAGGTAGTGGCAAGAGCATAGTTGGATGACGTAACGAGAGATTTTGGATTATAAGCCAATAGATGTAAATAAATGTTGTAAGGCTTATAATATACTGTTTATGCTTTTGATCGGTATCGGAACATGACATCCCGAGGTTTTGTTATGAAATGGAAAATATATTTCTTTAACAAATGTTTTGATAAATTTTTATTATATTTGTTCTGGGAACAAATTTCACAACATCTTTTGGAAAATTACTCTGATTTTATTTTAAAAGCATAAACTAAATCGGTCTTTTCTGGCCGAGAAATTTGGGGATGTCACAAATAAAGTCCAAGATTTAACCCTTTTAAGACATGAAAAAGCATAAAGTTTGCAACTTTATGGCTTAATACGTTTTAAGAAGCCTATATCTGAAGTTGGACGTTAGGTCTTAAATGATTAAGACCACAAAAAGGATTTTAGCCATTTGGGGCGTACGCAGGGCATACGTTGAGCATATGGCTTGGGGCCCCGTCGATGCAAAGCTTCCGAGTACGACGGGCGTACTGATGGTACGCTTAGTGTACTCATCAGTATGGACTTGGGCTTTATTCCCGGCTATTTTTTGGGACTTAGGGACTTTGGGCCCTTGTTGGGCTGTGAGCTTTTCTGTGTTGGGCCTTTAGACTTAGGCCCATCTTGGACATGGTATATCTTTTGCGCTTTGGGACTAAGTGTATTTGGGCCTTGTTTGGTTAGGCCCAATAAGACTAGGATTAAGTATTTGTTTTCCCTTAAAGCCGAGATTTAGGGTTTGGACTCTTGGGATAGGTTATTGACCTAATTTATAATTAGGGTTTTATTACTTGTGATTTAGAGTGAGAGGATTTCGCGAGTCAGTAGCTCGAGTGTGACTTGATATCTTGAATCTGAAGTGAGTTTCCTTCACTATAGTCGTGGGTCGAAGGCACCAATGTCGGCCCACTAGATTATGTTTGTAGTATGATGATTGTCTTCGTGACAATTACATGTTGTGTCTGTATCTGCTTGATGTCTCTGTGACTCTTATTGTTATGATTATATGTGTAGTGGTAGGGGTGAAATAGACCCGATATCGGTTAAAAGATATCGAATGGGGTGAAATAGACCCAGTACCGTTTGAAAGATACCGAAGGGGGTGAAATAGACCCAGTACCGGTTGAAAGATATCGAAGGGGGTGAAATAGATCCAGTATGTTTTTGATTGTTATATATGTATGGTATGGGGTTTTTTGGGAGAACTCACAAAACTTTGTGCTTACGGTTTTCAGTTTATGTTTCAGGTACTTCCAGCTCGAAAGGGAAATGTCCGACTTGATCGCACTGCATACACCTATTTTTTTCTGCATCTCGTGATTTTGGGATTTTGTACTATGATATACTTTCGACTGTTTGATGTGATTATCGTACGATTGGAATGAATTTAAAAATGAAAATTTTATCTGAATTTTTCGGATGTTACAAAATAAGAAGGAAAATTTTGGTAGGAAGGTAAGAAATTTTTTATATACATATTTTTTTAGAAAACAAACGAAATGAATCATTAGATGATTCAAAATTAAGATGATTCACAAGAAAAAATTCCTAAAAAAACATCATCATGATTCATTTTTAAGTAAATCAAGAAAAATTCACTTTTATGACAATTTTAGTGAATATCAACAAAATCATCATAAAATGAATCAACAAAAAAATTTCGGAATTTTTTTTATGATGTATGTTATTTTTTATTCATCTAGTGATTCTTTTGTTTTGTTCGCCAAAAAATAGGCAAAAAAAAAATTTCTTAACTTCCTACAAAAAATTTTTTTTACCAGATCTATCTATATATATATATATATATATATATATATATATATATATATATATATATATATATATATATATATATATAAGGGAAATCTACTAAAAAGTCATTATGTTTAGATCTCATAATCGAAAAAAAAATCTTCCTAATTAATATAAATATTTCGCATACCTAAATGTTTTTAAAAAAATTTATATAGAAAAAAGAAGGGTTTTATGTGAAAATATGTTTTTTATTTTGTATAAATATAATTTTATAAAGCAATAAAACATATTCGAAATTATTTTTTTGACAAACAAGATGTAAAAAAAATTGGATGAATTTGTAACAAAATTTTAAAATCTATGCCAAAAATATAAATTTGGACCAAATTTGTAATAAAATTTAACATCTAGTCCAAAAGTATAATTTTTGAAAGTTGGATGACCTGTTGGCCATGTAAAATGGTCAAAATGAAAATAATTTTCAATTTTTGGGATTTAATTGACTAAGAAAAAAGATAAAGATTAAATCGATTATGAAGCATAAACATAATTATGTTTCAATAGATTTCTTTAGATATAACTATGTTAATATTTAAATTGTTTAAAACTTGTGATCGCATTTAAGGATGAAAAAAAAACTAATGTAATGCTTACGTTGAAGAGAAACATTGTTAGCCGATACGGATGTTAGGGGTAAAAGAAATTATCGTTTAGGTTTTGGCATACTCTTCAATCAAAACACACCATGTAACCATGCACATTCATATAATCACTTGCATATATGGAAAAAAAAAATCTCAACTTCAATATTATGGTTTCTTGATTAAACATAAGTTCCTATACCAATACTTATCCGATTACCCGAATTAAAACTCAATATTTATCAAGCATTTATAGCTTGACTTCGACTTTAGCCCCTTGTAATTGCCTCTTCACTAACGCGGTATAAATACCATCTTTGGTTAAAAGATCATCATGAGTCCCTTGTTCAACTATCTTTCCATCCGATACAACCGCAACCGTGTCCGCACTTTGTACTGTCGAAAGCCTATGCGCTATCACCAACACCGTCCTTCCCTTCATTAAAGATTCCATCGCATCCTACCCAAAAATAAAAATAGTTTAATTTGTGTCGAAATACCACAAATGTTTATGCGAAAAGGTTATTATTTATTCCAGCAACCCTAAGCTGGCCCACAATGACACAGCATCATCATGTGAGATGTAAATCAGATACACAGTAATCGAACAGTACGGTATTTTGCTAGGTGGTTGGCATAAGTAGCTCAATCCACAAGGTTATATTTGTGATTATTCGTGGACAGTCTGTTAGGTGGCTGACATAAAGCGCAGGGCCCACAAGGAGTGTTGAGACTCAAACCCTTGTCAGTATATGCAAAAATAAAAATAATCTAATACCTGAACCAAGTACTCGCTTTCTGCATCCAAAGCACTAGTGGCTTCATCTAAAAGAAGGATTTTAGGGTTCATCAATAGAGCTCTTGCTATGGCTACTCTTTGTTTTTGACCTCCCGAAAGTCTCACTCCTCTTTCTCCAACAAAAGTTTTATATTTTTCAGGGAATTTCGATATAAATTCATGCGCGTTTGCCATTTTCTGTACAAATAAAAAAAAAAATCAAAAGTATTAACAATTAAGAATTGAATTTAATAATAATTTTTGTGTTTTTAGTTTTTACACTTACAGCTGCTTTTTCCACTTCTTCCTCACTTGCTTTTCCATTAAGTCCATAAGCAATGTTCTCTTCAATTGAACAATTGAAGAGTGTAGGTTCCTGACTCACTATACTTATCTGTGTTTTCAAAGATTACGAATTGATTATGGTGAATCTTGAAAATAAGTGTGGAGTTTACAATTTTACCCTTTTGTGTAGATGTTCATGTGATATGTCTACTAGAGGAACCCCATTAATCAAAACCCTTCCTTTCACAGGATCATAAAATCTTTCAATCAAATTCGCTATGGTGGTCTGCAAACATATAAAGAACGTTTCTTGAGATTCAAGAGTTGAGGGTAAAAAGGGAATTTAAAATTTGCCATTTTACTAATTAAATTTTCGTTCAAGTATTATATTACCTTTCCACCACCACTAGGACCAACAAGTGCAACTTTTGAACCAGGGTGAAGTTTCAAATTTATACCCTGAAATTTTTTTAAAAAAATGTCAATTATTTAGTATTTTAAATTTTAATTATAATTTAACATTTTTTTCATGCTTTATAATTTACCTCAAGCACCATATGACGTGGACGAGAAGGATAAGAAAACCAAACATCATCCAACTCCACTTCTGCATCTCCATCACTACAATGAAAAATTACAATCAATAACTAATAAAAGATAAATAAACGAATGAAATTACCAAACTAACCCCATAGGACACTTCTTTCCAGATTCAGGCATTGAAGAAACTCGATCCAGAAGCTGAAAAACTCTCCTACTTGCTCCAGCAGCTTTCATTGCCACTGTGTAAATACTAGACAACCCAGACACAGATGATCCAACTGCAACCAAGTAACCAAATTCATTGATCTTTCATAATCCATAAAAGGGTATTTATGTAATTATTGAAATAAGTACCTGTGAGGCTATAAAGAATGAAGGAAGTAAGAGCTCCTGGACTCATAGAACCTGCTATTGTTAAATGAGCTCCATATATCACTACTATGATAACTGATAATGTTGATGCTGCATTCAGTCCTCCAAAAAACAGACCTACTACTTTCTGCAACAAAATAAATAAGTTTTTTTTTTCTTTTTTTCTTTTTATGATTTATTGTGTGTTGAAAAGATATAAGGTACTTACAGCATACTGAAGTCCAAGTTTTAATGTCTCATCAACTTTCTCAGAGTAACGTGAAATCTCAAAACTTTCTTGTGCAAAAGATCTCACAGTGCGTACAGCACCAAAAGATTCCTACAAATTTATAAAAAAAATTAATTTTATAAAAATTTTCTTTTTGGAATGTTGTCATTCATACTTTGGTTACAAAAGAATGTTGGATGTGATAGTATTATAACAAAATATGGGAGTCTTAGTTGGAGTTATAATCACACATTTGTAACTTTTGTAACAAGTAGGGGTAAAATGGTCAATACACACCTCAGCAATTGAGGAAGCAACAGCTGCAGCAGCTTGAGTTTTGTGGGAAACTTCACGAAGATAACGTCCAACTTGGCGAACAGCAATTGAAATGAGAGGAACAACAACCAAAGCCAATACTAATAACAAGAAAAAGATGATTAATTTATATGTTCAAAAAAAGAATTTATTTTTTACTTAATGTTGGTTTAATCTTACATGTTAGCTTCCATGATGTGGTGAACATGAACCCAATACCAATAAATGCAGTGGAAAGATTCCTTAAAATTTCAGAAACATTTGAAGTTGCAGCATTTTTAATGATTTGGGTATCCTCAGAAAGTCTACTAAGAAGTTCCCCTGTTCTTGTAACATCAAAGAAAGCTATTTCCTGCAAAAAGGGTAAGTGAATCTTGAGTCTTGACAAAAGGGGTAGAAAAGACATTTTCTTTTTGAAAAAAGGAGTGATTTTTACTTGATTAATAAGGTGGGTGAAAAGATTCTTTCTTAATGCAGCAACGATTCTTTCACTTGCAGAAGAAAATAACCATGCACGACATGCTGTGCAGACTGAACTGAAAACAGGAAATGATCAAATGATCAAATGAGTCAAAGTTGAGTTGACTTTAGTTTAAAGAAAATGGAGGAATTGTGGTTTTTGAAATTTTCTTATTTTCATACCCAATTATGACAATAAGAAGGATTCCTAGTATGGTTCTGTTGACTAAGCTTACTGCTTCACTTTTTTGTTCAGGTGTTTGGAGATCTCCTGAAACAATATCAATTATTGTCCCACCAAATCTTGGCTGAAAATTAATAAAAAAAAAAAAAAGATTATTATTCTTGAAAATAAAATTATATTGAAGGAGATGAAAAGATGTAGACATACAATCAGGATACTTGATGTGGATGCAATCAACAAAGCTATAGTACCAATGATCAATCTTCCTGCCTCTGGTTTTGCCTGATAAATAATTAATTAACAGCTTAAAATTTTCAGAAACAAAATATAATTCAACATTTGAAAGTGACAAAATGATGAAAATTGAAGTAGCATATACTCACCAGAGAGAGTACTCTGAAAAAACTCACATTTGCAGCCTGTTGGATTTTCATAAACGAAGTTAGAAAGACCTTAACATGACTTTTTCACTTAGGCATTATGTCAAACAGTTGGGGGGTTAAATTGGAAGTAGAAAGAAACAGTAAATTACCGGTACTGCATCTCCAAGCTCAAGATCATTCTGCTCACCATTTGCCAATGGATCGTTTCTCATCAAACCCTGAAATTAACCACCAAAATAAAGAGCATAAACCCACATAAAATCGTAATAAGATACTTCCCCGATAACTAAAACATACCCAAAATCATATTCATACGAATCAAGTAATGGACACGCATAAACACACATTATGCCTAAAAAATTGAAGATTTCAATGATGTAACCATAACAGTACAGAACGATTCATAGGAGTCGTTGAATTTTAGTTCAAAAGGGTACGGAAATCTAAGTTGGCATACTAATTCAGAGTTCATGGAAACTTACATTCCTATTAAGCAACGGAGTTCTCTCGCCTCTCATACCATGCATACCACCACCAGAGAATCTATCCATCACTGCAAGAATTATCACTCAAGGTCGATATTACAAAGATTCAGTCGACGTATCAATCTCTAATCAACAGTTCCGATAAGAGATTCTACGTATCAGAGTGAATCATTCGAACCCATCACAACAAAAGAAAGTTTGAATTTTGTTTCGAATTCTTGCTCTAAATTCGAAATGGGTAGTTAGAAAGAGCGTGTATATATATACACTCCAACACTATCTTTAGATTGTGTGGTGATAGTTTCTGTCGTTACATGAATGATTTGGTTATAGTCCGAATGGAATCTTATTTGTTCGTGTCGATTGACGTCATTAGTTACGTTAATAGGTATCGGACGTGGATCTCATCCCATCAAAATCATTGGAGAAATAATCCCACGGTCGGTGCTTTTACACCTTAAATAGAAAGATTTGAATTACTTGGAGCAAAACCAACTATTCACATGTGTAAAATTGATTTTCTTTTTCTTACATATTATATTGAATCAAATGACTAAATCTATTCAATAAACATGATTTTTATTTCAATAACTCGTATTATATGTTAAGTCTTTTATTTGGAAATGGGATAATGATCTGAAGAGGTTGATCAATTATTTTTCATGTACATCTTTGGTCATTTTCACTTTTTTTATACATCATAAGTTCTCAATCTTAATTTAAGATATTGTATGTATAAGCTTATTTCACATCATTTTTATTTCAATAACTCGTATTATATGTTAGTCGTATACTGTGTCATTTAGATCATAGCTTGCACTTTCATGCATTCTTTTCAACCAAAATCGACAATATTGTTACCATATAAATGGAAGAAGGAAATATAGGTCATGTCTTCCTCCTCTTACCAATTCAACATAAATATGGATGTACACTTTTAATAGCATTGTAATTGTGACCTACCTTATCGATTTAGGACATCTTGGACAAAAATTCAAATTTCAATATATACAAGTTTTTTATATATCGATAACTAATAATTAATTAGTGGTCACAATACAAAGAGTGAGAAGGCAAATGGGCAACAGGCTAAGCCGCTAAATCTTTTTATATGATAAAACTAATTCTTTTTGAATACTACATCCATAAATCTAGGGGACATAACATTGATATGTATGATCTGTTGTACCCTAGTAAAAAAACTTCACCGCATTTGACGCGAGGAAATCAAACGTATCAAACGTGAATGATACGAACACGTGTTGATTTTCCATGCACGATTTCTCATGTTTCATGATTTTGCATGTAGCAACTTTTAAAATAGTATGTTCTGCCTTGAAACCCCTCATCCATCAAGCCCACGAGAAGGGATGTCCCAGTTTGTCAAAATTCTATGGTAAGTGTTTTTTTTTCTTTCTTGAATTAGTTCAAAGCAAGATGCTTTGAACTAAAAGTTGCACCTTTGGAAAATGACACGAACATGTACAAGACCACGATGTTGCTTCCTGCAATCTTAAGTTCAAAACCTCATGGCTTCCATTTCTTTCTTTATCCTATTCAACTTGATATGAAGATAAAAAAAAAAGGTTGTATTATGCCATGCATTTGGAAGTTTGGGATCAATCGATTCCCAAAATAGAATATTATCTTATTGGATTCTACTTAAAAATTAACAAACAAAACAGTACATAACATTTGTTGCTTCAGTTAACAAGGATACAAAAAACAATTACAATAGAATTAGATCATTCCCTAAACCTTCATGTAAGGTTATCTTCTATCAAGTATTCCTAATTTGAAGAATGAGGGTTTTAATTTGGTGAGCAATTACAATTATACTGATTAGGGAGCGCAAGGGGCGCAAATCTTATTTTTAATTTATATCTTGTTGGAAATCTTAATGGACTAAGCAAATTGGTTAGTTTCCATTATCCCATATTGGTAGGGGAAGAAACATTTAGTGAGTTTATAATGCTTATTTCTTGATAGGCCTTCAAAGTCTTTAGTGGATCAAGGGATGAGCCAAAAATAACACATGCGCGTCTAGCCTAGCCTAGCCTAGCACTGATGCGCTAGCCTAGCCTAGCACTAGTCGACATTACGAGTGCACGAAATGGCGCGATTTAGGCACACTTGGCACGACGCATCGGTCGCTTGGAGCTGAGAAGCTTTTACTTTTAGTCGGTTCGGGATCGGTTGAGTTGGACCGAATATGTTCGTTCGGAATATTTTGGAAGGCCTAGGAAACGACTTGCTTGGAGAACAAGGCGTCACCCTAGGGTTTCTAGGAGCCAGCCTATGGGGTTTTTTGCTGCCTTCTAGGGTTTCGAAACCTATAAATACAAATCTCTAGGAGCCGTATTCTATGCTCGAAAAATCAACAGCTCTCTCTTTCTCTCTTGGCGATTTCTTCCTGGTTTCTGAGTATGTCACACCCCCAAACCAGAACGGCGGAAACGTCTGAGGGTGGATGACGTCATGTACAATATCATAACATAAAAAATAATAGTGATCAAAGTCATACAACCATCATATTGATAATTAAGAAGTTTACATTGTATCCAAAACATTGTTTACTTGACACCAAATACATATGACAAAAGTAAATAACGTGACGCTACGACGCCCCATCCTCAAAACCTTTTTGGTTTCCTGTTTATTGATTTCTTGAGAATACAAGTGGTTTTGAAAAAGTGTCAATAATTAAGTTTGTAAGTTCATAAGAGTTTTGTATGAGAAAAAACTATAACTTTTCCTTGTAAAATGATAGAGTATGTTTTCAGAAAATCCAATATTTTCTTTAAAAATGGGATGTAGATCTTAAACCCAAAGACCAAAAATGTAAGTAGTGTTGTACTGGAAAATAGTATCATTTAGTTTTATCATTATATAAAACTAATTGAATGTATGTTAGCCCCGTAAATCAAATGTATTGTTAATACCTCATGTGAGTTATTATAATCGTGCTAACGACTAGTTGGCATGCTATGACCTTCTTCAGACGTCGGAATGTTATACATTTGTCACCCTAGACCTGTCGGTCTAACTGTAGCTAACAGCTTAGGTGCAGGGTTGTCAGTCTCGTATAGATCTATACACAAGTTTCACGCTCTCTTACCGAGACTCTGGTTATAATTCAGGAACTTTAGTATGTACTCAAGTAGGTACGGTGAAGACTATGTCTCACAAAATTGTATTAACAAGTTTACGTCTAGTGTAATAAAAACCCTTTTTGTAAATGAAAGTATTACCCTTCCATAGTGGTTACATAGTGTAAAAAAATATTTATACCTTTAAATAATTATATGTTTCATCCAAAATGATAAAGTAGTATTTATGACCCACAAACTATACCAGTTATAGTTTATTATAAATGTTTTGTTAAGTCCGTTTATATATATATATAATATATATATATATATATATATATATATATATATATATATATACACACACACACACGTATAAGTTAACATGTCTAGATGTTTTAAAATATTATATCATATAAACTTACACCTAACACAAGTATGAGAACATTTGGTACGATAAAGTCGTTTTCTAGTTTTTGCCCATTTTTAACGATATTTACCGGTAACTAGAAAAATATAACTTTGTAAAACTTAATTTTCTTTTTTAGGGGTATTTAACTCAAGTTAACTTTATAAGTTTAAAACCATATATTTTTAGTCAAAACCCACAAAAAATGATGTCATAAACTTGTTATGACCACTTTTGTTTAAAAATCTATTTTTACATAAAATGATAGATATTTGAGATTTCTTTTTGTAGAGCTAACTCCTTGGTATATTTGTCTAGTTTCAAAATACATGTCCAAAACAACATATTTTGGGTTATATCCCACAAAAATGGTAAAATAACTAGATCATAACCATTTTTGCTAGAAAAGCCGTATTTTGTCCATAAAAAACTTAATCCTTGTAGCTTTGTAGTTTTAACATTTTCTAAAGAACATATAACATAGTTTATTTTGTTTTTCTTAGTTTTGCATCTCCAACTAACATACCACAAATAAATGTTCTATAAACAAGTAATAACCACATTTCACGAAGAATAATGCTTTATACACAACATAGAAATGAAACATGCAAACATTTGTGTTATAAATCAAACTTTTCTTATAGTCCCCCCCCCCCCCCCCTTAAAGCATGAAAAACTCGAAAATATGAGATATGAACTTACCTTGAGTGTGTTTGTGGTGGGATAAAGAGATGAAGATGAAGATCCCCAAGCTTGGAACACTTGAAGGTGGTTGAAGAACACTTGAAGATGGTATTATCCTATGGGTTTCAACACATGTTAATGTGTGTAAAAGTCACAAAACTAGTATGAATGTGTATAAAAACACTAGAATAACAAGGAATGCTTACCAAAAATCCTAAGAACCAACTTGGAGAGATTGATCTTTGGAAGACTTGGACTTGTTCTTGAGAGGAAGAATGAAGAAAAGTGACGATGGTGGGGGGTTGGGAACCCTCAGCCGCAAGTTAAAGAGAGAGAGGGGAGAGGGTAGGGTGGGGTGGGATGGAGTGAAGTGATGTTTGCTTGGTTACATGTTGGACAATACTTGGGTGTACGTTGGGTATTAGTTTTGTTGGGAAATTGAAGTAGGATTTGACTCATTTTGGGGCTTTCCATGCACCCAAAGTCAACCCTTTTATCTTTTATAAAAACTAAGAGTTTTTATAAAAAGATGGGTGTTTTATAAAAAAAATGGTAAAACTAATGTCTAATTACCTAATTTGAATTATAAAAATTCAAATCATTATAAAGGAAGTATTATCAATAAAGATAATAGCACAATGTGTTCAAAATATTATTTATACCAAAATAATATATGTTGGAATTATCGAAATTAACGTTGCTAATCCAAAAAGTAGGATTTTTATTCAATAATTGGCTAAAGGAGAGGTATTTCGTATTAATACTTGTAGTTTGTACATTAGGAAACATCAAGATTTACCTAAAATTCTAATACGAGTCGAGTTGACTTTTGTTGAATCCAAAATTGACAGTTGTCACAGAGTATTCACTTTGCATTTATCGTTTTCCATTGTTGTTGGAAAACCGATAAGTCTGCATTAAATCCTGAGGTTTTACTCTGTTGCTTACAACTATAGAAGCGAAGTAAAAACCTTTAAGGACAGGAGTCAGATCCGTGCAGGTTTCTACAAATCGAGATCAACTACAAACAAGTCGGTTTTACTTTATTGTTTCGCATTTAAAATTTGTCCAATAATAGGACAATCTGGTTCTATTCCTTTCCTATAATTAGATCTGAT